GTAAACGACGGTAAGATAACCGCATACTGTCTATGGTTGCCGATTATCTAAAATAGCTAAATGACATTTTTCATTGATGATTCTTTATTTTGTTACATACATGATACATTGATATTTTTATCCATCTGTTTGTCCGTGGGTTGGGCACTCCTATATTTGGAAGGCTTGGGATGATCATCGTATCTTTTATGGGTAAAAACAGGGATCTGTTATCTTTTAGGGAGTCTCAATGGTTTTCTGGTCACCACCAATAATCGTATCTTTACGATAATCAGCATAATACGAAAAGAAGACAACAGCGTCAGTCAGCTTACTCATTTTCATTCGCTTCAATCACGTTTAATCATCAAACATTTTTAGCTTTTATCCTAATAGCCTGGTTCCGTTTATCTCGGAGTCATCCGCCCTAACTAACTAACTAACTGGTTTCTTTTAGGGGTACGGTATTCTTCACTAAAATTTTCGAACATCATCCCCACCGTAAATACAAAGGTTTCCACCGTGCTTTCTGTGTCAAATGCAAAAACGTAAATTTGATTCTTAGTCGACACATCTTTATTAAGATGTGCTTGCAATTTTATATCAATTTTAATGAATGATAAGTGGAATGCTTGACAATGATAATATAATGTTTCTTACTGAATTTGAAATTTAGGTAAGCATCTCAATCTGTATGAGGGTGATATCCAAATGGATGAGGACCTKGAGAGATATCTTCATATGCCTGTCAGATCCATGACCAAGAGAAACGCAATAAGAGAGAAAAAGAGAATTTGGTCCACAAAAATCATTCCATATAAAATACCTGGGTTTATGTGTGAGTTWTTAAAATGCATCTAGGTATACATTMTTATTTATAAATTTTGATATCATTAACATGGTATTTTCGAGAATTGAGTAAGTTTCACTCAAAACTGGTGCTCTTTGTCAAAATTACTTCGTTCACATGCTTATATACATACATTTATAAAGGTATACACGTAGATCGGAGTATTATCTTTTTTATTGAAAATTCCTATTCGATGCTCCTGAAAAATATGTTTTGCATACATATWAATTTGAATATCATTTTTACTTGAAAGAAAATGTTGAACAATGTTATTTGTAAAGTAGTCAATGTTTTCTTTGGAGATAAACAAAGGTGTTTGATGATTTTGAAAATCCACAAATTGGAAAAGTGTAGCTCAATMATTAYAACTGCAATGCTCTTGTCTTTACAGCACACATAAGACAGAACCTTATGAARGCCATTGCAGGGTTCCAAAAGCACACTTGTCTTCGATTTGTCCCGTATCGACCCGGTGTGCACAGGAATTACATTACTTTCAACAAGGCACATGGGTAAGYGATTAGATCATCACTCCTCTCATAACCGTAAGGAAAAGTCACATGCAGAAAAACAGTCGAAAAAAAAACTGAAATGAAAGAAAACCCCGACGTTTTCATCAATTTTAATTTAAGCACTCGTAAAGATTTACAACCCTCCTCCGAACAGTTTGGAAACTGCGAAAATTACTAACATCAAACACGCAGACTACGAGGTTTTGGGCACAATAGTTTATTGACACCGGGGAGCACGGATAGCTCGGTTAAAACCTGGATGGTGGAAATAAACTAGAGAGAACGATAACGTGGGTGGTGAGGGTGGGCAAATGAACCGTGAAGAACTGATAAAGCGCAACGCGTGTCGAGAGCACGATGAGAGTAATATGAGTTCAAAGCGGGGGTCAAGGGTAATATAAGAATCAGYGCTTTCTGGTAATTACCCATCATCACCCAGGTTATCATGGTACTATTAATTTCCAACTTAAACAGAGGATATCAAAACTTTTCGGATTAACTAGCCCTCATCAGTCGTTTACTAATCGTACGTYCCTATGTAACTCTTCCTCTTCCAGCACAAAAGTCTACATCTTCGGGAACCCAGGGGTAATCTTCTGTCGTTCATTTCTCACTGTCCCAGAAAAATACCTCTGGGCACGAAGTCTGTTAGAACTTGTTCTCGAATTGAAATTCAAAATGGCGGCAGGTAAACTAATCAACAAATCAGAATGTTCAAGTGAATCACTCGACCAATCAGAAGTCTACCGGACGCCATTTTGAATTTCGAATCAAGAACAAGATCTGACAGAATTCGTGCACAGGGGTATTTTTTCTGAGGGTTGTCGCAAAGTAACAACATGTAACAAGGAAATATTGAGAAATCGATGTCAAAGAATTCCCGCTGAATTCAAATTCGGAAAGAGTTATCAGTTGCAAACGTTAGATGCTGCAAAARAACTTAACTGCCCATATCTGAGGGGCGTAATTTCTGGGATCATCAGTGSGTGACGCGCGTGAAAAATACAAAGAAATGTATTGAGAACTAAAAATAAATTTACTCGCTCCCTAGATGGACATCCCTCAATTTTGGCCAGTTACCTCTCCTTTTTGTAGTATCTAACGTTTTCAATTGATAATTCTTTCCGAATTTGAATTCAGCGAGAATTATTTGACATCGATTTATCAGTCTATCTTYGTTATTTTACGACACTTTGCCTAATCATCTAAGATGGCCGCCAAAATCGTCACCTCGACTATTGTAATCACGATGGGTCATAAAGAATCTTGAGTCTATATTGAGTTTCTTTTGCCACTTTTTAGATAAAGAATCGAAAATTAAACGAAATAATCAGCAATGTTTCTCAAACTATCATCACCGGCTATCACTCTTACTCTGTAACTATAACACAGGGTTCCCGGTTGCGCAGTATTTGAGTTTAATAAATTTAAAAATCAAGTAATAAGTACAATATTCAGACAAATGCGTTTAAATTCCATAAWAAATATTTTGTCGAAATGTTACAGACAGAGTGCCATCTGTGACGATCCGGATCAGATCTATGCACGACTATTTATCCGACTTAACCGTCAAAAAGAAACAGGGAGAGGGTTGATTTGTATTTCTTGAATGCGAAATTATTTTTTTAACTAAGATCTTGTCTCATTATTGCTTTTCACACTTATTTTATTGGATGATTTTGACGCTTTGTTAAAGGTGTTCTTCTAAAGTTGGAACAAGGTATTATAGCCCAGGACCCCAAGCGATTTCCTTGGGAGATGGATGTAACAATCCCAGTACGATAACACACGAGTTGATGCACGCTATAGGTAAGATCATTTGAAAAAAAAAGAAAATGTCCGGAAAAAAGTTCAACTCTACATGAAAAGCTAGAACTGCATGTCTATACTAAGAATTAAATTATCAACAGCAGTTTTAAAATAAGTCATTGATGTCGTAGCCTGCTCGGCTTTGACATACAATATCGCGAGCCGAGGGCGAGCCCGGTGAGGAAATGATGAACAAACTCAAAAAAACATATTATTAAATATATAATATTATAATTTGCCACATCATAAGATAAGGTAGGGCGAGTCTGGCTCATATCTTATATTGAATAAATTAAGTGGATTTATCAATCGTTTGAGCTTATCAGTAAAGATTTGTACATTTTCAGGATTCTTTCACGAGCAGTCTCGCTCAGACCGGGATAGGTACGTCAGAATTAATTGGGAAAACATCTTCAAAGGTACAGAACTGCGACGATTTTATTAGATTAAATGATCGTATTTGTTTGTTGTACTGCATTTTGTTTATTGTATTATGAATTGTTTACTTCATTGAGTTCAATAAGGGGCCATTTCATTGCGCATGCACGATACGCTTGAGCTACCTTTTTCACAGCACTGTTTCGCAGCATGTTCTCGGTCGGGATGTTTATATAATTTACGTTCAGAAAAATACGCTTTTTCATTCTTCAACAAGCAATTGATTAGGTTCAAACGTCAAATCTAGTATCGAATATGTGTTGAAAGTCTTATTCAAGTTAAATTTCTGGAGTATATCTGCTTAAAATATGGTAAAAATCATACAGGGTGACTGAATTGGAGAAGATAAAATGGCGACTGAAATGTGGTCAAAACCATACTTTGTCGTTGGTTTATCTTAGGAAACAAGACGCTCTGGTGCCTGTTCTTATAACCATGTAAATTGGATGCTATTTGTACTTTATGACAACATTTTGTTTTGAAATCGCTTGCAATTAAAGCTGCAAGATTCACACAGCCTTTATGCGATAATTGTTAAATTCGCGCTTTTTGACATTTTTCACATTGAAATATTATTAAATCTAGTTAAAATTCCGATGCGAACCAAGCAGAAATGATTATAATCGTATGTATTGATACTGTTTTATGAATGATCTTTACAAGGGCGGATCCAGGATTTTTTAAGGGTGGGGGTCCGGAAAAAAATGACGTAGGCTTCCCGCGCGGTTTGACACAGGAAGCCCAATTTGAAAATCATCTTTAATATAATTAACCTTATTACACTTAATTTTTGCTACACCGAAATTTCGCGATTTTGAGAACGCGATAATTGGCGACACTTAATTTTGGCGATGTTGTTAGCTGATTTTGAAGCTTATTACAGCTCAAATAGCACACAACAAGGTTTTAGAGTATCAATAYATATAAACGAAGGAATAATCATACTTACTGTCTTCTTTTTTCTTGAAGAAAGATGTAATTTTTAAGTTATTAGACATTTTTTCAACTGAGCACAGTCGTTCACTTCACTTGAAAGGCCTTGACTATCTGGCTGTTTCCCGCCAACTCTGCATACGCGCGCGCTAACCTGGTCACGTGACTTTAATAAACAGGAAACCCAAACAGATAGAAATATAAAAGCCGGGTTCGACGATCGAGTTTTCAATTAGTTTACTAAAATATATAATAATTTTGACAATTAGTGACATTTACCAGAATTCTTTCACGTCAAAAAGAATTATTGCCCGTAATAACTTTTTTTTAATTGATAAGTCAGGGGGGGTCCTGACCCCCGGGACCCTCCCCCCTTGATCCGCCCTTGCTTTAATTCAAAAATTGGCGAGGATGGATATTTTGGCCTTTCAAGATTGTAAGCATTGTTTACATGGTCATTGTTTTTTGGTCAAAACTCGTGAATTTTGAAATATTCGAGCATGAAATCAGATGTATTACATGTTATACCCAATACAAAAGGCCATACATGATATATCAGCGATCAGACAATTGTTTTGCTATTTATGAAGAATCAAATACATGATAAATATGGTAATGTGGTTACTATCATTAATAATTATATAWCTGACTKGTGTGAGAAAATGCCACGCTTATTTCATTTGATTTGCTGTCCTTTGTTTCTTTGCTTCTGATATATCAAATTTGAATTTCTTAAAAAATTGGCTAAGGTTAGTAAATTTGCAATATTCTACCATATGATGCTCTGTTTTGCCTGTCATAAATATGAAATAAAACTCATATCCACTTGTTAATTAAGCTTGTTTTTAGCCCTACAGACAGGGGCTAATTCAGCTGGTGGGCGCAGGGAGTTTGCAATAACCCCCTCAACTCCTCGAGATTTAGTATACTTCCATTTATTTGTGTCTCCTTTGACATGGTTTCTTGGAGAGCTCCCTGGCTGAGTGACCTGCACCCCTCCCTGGAAATAATGTAATCTTCACACAGTGCTTTACTGCATGTAACATCGAGTACAACAAATCTGCAACATTTCTTTTGATTTCATGTATTGTCATCTAATCTTCTTATCTTATAAAAAAAGGTGGGGAAGGGGGCTATATATTGCTCATAAAACAAATTTTGAAATAGTATTAATTTTTTTGTCGATCCATCCCCGGTACTAGCGGGGCACTGAACGGGAATGCTTTAAAGTGTTTTTAACAAGATTGCCCCCCGGGATTTTGATGAATTGTTTTCGAAGCAGGGCAAAGAGCGGGGATTTTAACGCTGGTTTGAACTTGTATGAGCCTGGAAACTAGAGGTCGGCCATCTTGAAAAATACCCTGAAAGCATTAGTATTCAATCCTGGTTTTGTGTTTGTTTATTTTTCTTTGCATGAAATTTATAACACCTGTTCAACTCCGTCCAATTACCTTCACGTAGTACGCAAATGATACAGGAGTATACAAAAACTCTGTGCAGCACAGAAAATTTTAAGTTGGATTGAAATGCGTTTGTTTTGTTATTTACTACTGGACTAAAATTGCCGGGCCACAGTAGCGGGGATTTTAATATTGAATGCGCCCCGACTATCGGGAGAAATGTCTTAGAAAATTCTATTCATAACGAATTTGATTCCTGTTGGATTGAAATCATTCAGCAAAAACAAAATCGAAACAAAAGAACATTGTTATCGGAAACATGTATCGACACCCTTCAAGTGATGGTGTTAAAAATTTCTAACATACCATATCATTTCAAACTAGTGCGTTAGTTATTGTATTCCTATCCTTCATATGATTTTAAACTATTGTGTAAGTAAGTAATTGTATATTCTTCAAATTTTTTCCTCATGTTTTATTGCTTTTTTCCTTACCTGTAATTACCAATGTGACACTAAATGATAGGGACCTAACTAGAAAACTTATTAGTTAATTTAGCCCTCTGGCTCTATTTCTTTACAAAAATTTGCATATTTTTTATACTTATTTGTCTTTTTTTGTTACAAGCACCTTTCTCTGTAAAGTTAAAAGCAAAAAGAGCAATAAAACAGTTTATCATATAATTATCTATGAAATACCTATATTTCTCCATTACGTAAAATTGATATTTTCACTAGTGAAAATAACATGTTATTTTCACTAGTGAAAATAACACATTCGAGGTTTCTCTATATAGTGGAAGTAAGAAAAAAGATATTTTCCAACATAATTTGCTTTCATATTTAATTATATGATAAACAGAATATTACATAGTCGATTTGAGATACGAATTTTATCTTCTCGNATTTTTTTCAAACATAGATTCGCAGTCATTGTTGTACTCAGCTTTTTTTTTCAAATTTCCAAAGTTTGAACCTTGAATTATTAATTTTTTTTGTGTTATAATTCCTAACAAAGATCAAATGAAAATCTTTTTTTTCTGATAATATGATCAATCAATTATTATCCTACGGTTTTTTTGTTTTGATTATKCAGGTATTTCTTACCATTGCGCATTTTTTTTCTTCCCTATCAACCYGACACTWTWCCCTTTCACGTTTTTTTTAACTCATGCTTTCATGTTGCAGCTAAAACCTATGGATGGTCACATTGGTCTGGATTTACACCATGTAATGACAAATGCTACAAAATACGAGAACGCTTCTGTTATAATCCAGGAAATCGGAAACATTGTGGTGGTAAGACCAACGTGTATGGAATTGAGAAAGATAAAGTGAAGTGCACCAAAAGGGAATGTGACGGTACGTTTTTTTTTTTATAAATTCAAATGCATATAATCACATGTAATAGAAGGGTCTTTGTTGACAAAATTTATGGCTTAAAATGTGTGTTTTTTTTAGTAATAAGTCTTTCCTTTCTCTAATATAAAAGTGTTTTTTTTTTTTAAAAAGCTTTTCATGTATCATGCACTTTCATTTTTTTGTGCTGATTTCGTGCTTATTTCTCTTAGTCAGAGATTTTTTTATTCAAAGTGTTTTGTGGCAAATCAATAACAAGCCTTTTTTTAACTTTTAAAAATGGCGGTAGTTCACGACCGTCACTTTTTTTGGACTAGTGAGGAATCATGGAAACGAGTCCTCAAATTTTTTTCATCTAGAAATCACTACAGATATCGTATGTATGTATTTTTTTAAAGTTTCAATGATGTTTGAGTATGTTGTTTATAATTTTTTTCTCTTGCAAGACACCATCGAAGTTTAMTACACGGATTTTTTTCTCCGGAGACCTCATTTTAGTGCTTAGTCCCMAGTTTTTTTTTCGGCGACCGTCACATATCGCGTCATTTTTGAAAGTCGTGAATACATTCTCTATTAAAATCAAATGTCGYGAGAATTTTTTTTTTCTAMAGAGTTCAAATTTTCAAGGATGACATATTTTTTTGATATTCAGTGGTTATCTGGGCTTAACGTGAAATGTCATTTTTTTGGTTCCGCCTATAGCAAACAAACAATACGGACAGATTTTTTTCTCTCAATAGTGAATAGACATTATTTAATTGATGGTGTAAAATTGGGTCCGTAGATTACTTGTAGCCAATCTTGTGATTTTTTTTTGGACTTGAGGAGAACAATAAATCCAGTTAAACATTTTTTTTTTTCCTGCTCAAAGCCAGCGAGAGCTGCTTAAGTTTTTTTTAGAATCACCTGCGCAAAGGGCTGGCCAATCTTTGCTCAAGTGATTCTGTTGTCTACTAAAGCAGCGGTGTCTTCATGTTTTTTTTAGACATTCAATCAGAAATTTGTCACATTTGTTTRTTTTTTTTTACCGKKTAAATGTTAATGTTAGTTGCCTTGTTTCTAGCCCGCTTTGCCATCGATGGTCACTGGGGACGATGGAGTTTTTTTTCCAAATGCAGTGTTACATGCGACAATGGAGTAAGGTTTTTTTTTAGAAAATGCGATAATCCAAAACCAGGGAAATTATTTTTTTCCTGTGCTGGAAAGGAAAATGAAAAGGGCGTATGTACAGTTAGGAGATGTCAGCTAGGTAATCTTGTTATTGTTTTGTTTTTTTATGTATTAGCTAATTATTGATGTTAATTCTGATTGTTTTT